GTGACAGCCACTGGGAACTTAAAATGTGACTCGATTCCCGATAGCCCTGGACTACCTGCAGGCCCCAACGCTGTCACTTATTATTGCCTGGCTTTGTTGCTGCTTGCAGTCTATTTCTCCTCTCCAAATGCTATATAACACAGGCAGCTTCATTTACATTTTCTGAATGGACTAATCATGTCTCTTTGCTTTGATAAAGAATATGCTGCCACCCACAGAACCACATGGAAACCAGCGGGGAAGAGTAAACCAGAAATAAACCCATTTTGGGGGGGACTGAGAGAAAAATCCCCACTAAGATAATTGGGAAGGATGTGTGAGCAGATAACTAACAGAACACACAGGCGCAGCTTCAAAAAAAAAATAAAGCTAAAAATACCATATGAGGGACAGCAAGAGACAACACAATTGAAGCAGAACAATTGGGAGAGGAGTTAATACTTATTAGCAACCATTTTAAATTGACTATGGGCTGGTTTTATAACCGCTCCAGGAGTGATGCATTTGACAGGACTTAAACACTCACCTCCCCCTTTCCAAGGAACCTACCAAGCAACACTTGAGAGAGCCAAATTAGCCAAACTCATTTGCGTGCTACTGAAGAATTAACCAGAGCAGCTACAGACACTAAAAGCTTTTCCATGTAGGTTGCTGTACACAGCAGCCAGACCCCAAATGAATCTCTGCAGTCCAGATCCCACTGGCTCCTATCTACCACCCTCCCTACTTCATCCTGGACACTCTGAAACATTATTTAAGTGCTCGTTGCATGAGAAGTGCAAAGGCAGCTATGCATTTTTATGGATTTTGCAATGCTATTAATAAGAGATCGACTCAGTTCCATTTACTTCTGTGCACTGGGCCAGTACCAGGGCTGGGAGCCTCTTTCTTTGGGTCACGGTCATACCTCTGGGGTTGTGCTTGAAGAACTGCTCATGCATTTGAAGGTAGGCACTTTTTAAGGGCTTAGCTGTATCAGGGTCTAAGCAAGCACTGTCTATCCAGGAGGTTTAAAATAACAGTACAGCTTGTGTGAAGAGTTGGGTTAGAGAGGAGGATAAGTTTAGCACTATGTGTGTGTGATAATGCAAGTAAATGAGCTGGTGCTTCTGGTTTATGCAGGGAAAAGCAAGAGCAATGTCTTCTCTAGGTCTTCAAAGAGCAGAAATGGTTTGGAGAGAGCACCTTCATGCTCTAAGTTCTTTCTCTGGGAGAAAACTGATATATTAAACAACCTTGATGTTTTCATGTTTCTGGTTACTGTGAGCCAGGTGCAGCAGAGATTTCCAGTTAGTACTTGGGGGTGTCAGTAGCAGTGTATGAGAAAGCCTTAGATGCAAGTCAAACTGCAGCTGGCAGGAGAAGTTTTTATGCCCAGCGGACTCCCTGGACTGCCATCTGAACTAGAAAGACCCCTCTGTCCAGTCGGATGAACACATCTCATTTATCTGCATGATGTGTTAGGAGACAGCGACCATGTATAGCCAGAGCATCAGGGAATCAAAACAGAAGAATCAGAGACAACTTGGACTGCAACTTTCTAGAGCAGTGAAACATCTGTGCAGATGAGCCCAGAGATCCCTTCCACCCTAGGGTTTTATTGTAACTCCTGCTAGGAGCAGAGTGTTTGGCTCCTAGAGAGAAAGGGTGAGTTCAGGTCTGATGCTCCAAGTTGCCTCAGGGCCAGACTGTTTCAAATACTTTCAAGGCAGTTTGTTCATTTCAAGGTCAAACGTGAATAAGGACCTGTATCCCCCTGCTATTTTAATAGGAAGGAGAAAATTAAGGAAGATAAAGCAGGCCAGAACTTCCTTACTTTTCCTATTTTGTCTTCTGTATTAGAGAAAAATATCTGCAGAGCCGTGGAGACTGAGGCCTGTAATGACTAAATTGAATATACTGAGCCAAAGGCGCACTGGAAAGGCATATTGAGCCAGTAAGAGCATCATAGACATGACCCTGTCACTTGCCATCAGTGCTGATATCCCATTGAAATGAATTAGCTTTGTGGGCAGGTGGGAATGCAGGACCATCTAGTATTGCAGTGAAGCTTGAAGGGCTTTAGGTTTAATAACTTTACTTGCTCCCTTCTGCTCATTGTGTATTCAGGCTGAATGAAAGGTGATCTCTGGTGTCTTTATGGTATCTGTGTGGGCATGTGGGAGATCATCTTTGCTCAGCTGAGTTATTGAAGAGGCCTGATTCTGCACTGATGCAGCTCTTCTCTCTGCTGGGTTTTCACACTGGGGTATCAGACCCCTGGGAATAGCGGGAATCCCGTGTAACCCAAGAGACAAACCGCAGGAGCACTGTGACTCCAGAGATCCCCTATAAGTCACCAGTCTTCTTCTGCTTCCCCTGGGAAGCCCTTCTGTACCTGCAAGACATTGCTGTCCTTCTACCCCCAGGCTCAGCTGCAGGGACCAGTAAGTAAAGAGCAGGAGACAGGGCTCCCCCCTGTTCCCTGACCACTTGTCCTAGGGAGGAATTAAGCAAACAAGAAGCCCCAGATGCTTGGGTCTGGACAGTCTTTGCAGTGATATCCTTGGGGAGGTAGTTCTTATTCTTTCTTATTCCCTTGTAAAGGCAACAACAGTCTGAACTGCAGCCCAAGCCCTCAATCTCTACATGGGAAGTGAAAGCAAAGGGCAAAGCAAAGCAAGCCAGCTGTGTGCTTCTGTGTGTGATGTAAATTCACCACCACACACACTCGATTCATGGTAACCCAGAGACACTTGTCTTCTGTGGCAGTTCATGGGCTTCTGTGCAAAGCCTGAAGGAGAAGCATTTGCTTTTGCTAGAAAACTTAACCAGTGTTAAAATGAACTTAACAGGGTTAATGAGGTTTTAAAACAAGTGCTGTGCATAGAAAACCTGTTGTGCCTGGAGACCCTGTGTTCTTTAACGGGTACCACATTCTCATTATAGAGCAACAGGTAGGGTATTTCATGATGGTAACAGGGGGATCACACTTGTAATTTGGTGAGATACTTACTGAGACACAGGGTGCCTGTCTTGCTTAGCTCTGTTGTGTGTAAAAACAGATGCACTGCACATATGCCTCAAGAAGTTCAACTGACAGAGCATATAAACAGGAGATCAGGGCCCGGCACATGCACTCCACGTGTCTGTATACATTACATACATACACACGTGCTATACATTCAGCTGCATGTTGTGACATCTTGTGATACATCAGACCAGATAACTGAGATGTGTTATCCCATGTGTGAGTACAAATAGAGAAACAGATCCTATGAAGCTATGCCAGCACTCAAAGGGCACGACTGTGCCCAAACTTAAGCCAATTTTGGGTCTGCCTCAGCATAGGAGAGTCCTGGGTCAGGGTGGTTAAAGCATGCGAGCTTCCACAGCCCATAGCATATGAAGAAGCACTGTGGGTTTCACTCTCTCTGGCTGCCTGAATGACTAGGTACCCAGTTACAGCTGGGCCAACTGGGGGGCAGCTCCTGGTGAAGATCGAGGGGCAGGCTGAAATGTGTGCCCCCAGGGACTTCACCTGGCTGCTGCTGCCCTGCCTGCTGTGCCCAGGCTCCCACAAGGGTAAACTCCATTAACTTCAATGGAATTATTCCTTCTGTTTTTAATGAGCACAAAGGATGGGAGAAGTGAAGCCTCTCTCATGTCTGCCTGTCACAACATGTTCAGCGCATGTGAGAGATTCACTTAGTTCCTAAATGAACACAAAAACAGTTTAAGGAAAGTTTGCTCTAGGGTGAAGAATGAAGATTCATGAAAAGGAAGCACACAGGAAGATATCCAGGAAACTATTAATCAGATTCACTTAGTGCTAAAAAGAAAGTATTTAAGGCACTTTCTTCATTCACAGACAGAGTGGTAACAGCAATAAACACCTAATTTATTATGAGTTGCTAAGAGCAGTCCATAGAGATTAGCTCTGAAAGAAATGAAACTGCCTATACATGAGAGATTGAATTATTTGGATCATTTTATGATTAAGAAACTACAGTTAAATCAAATCTTCAAGATGCTAGACTATATCCGAGCCATTCTGCAGTGAATTGCACATTCAGTCAACATCCGCCAGAGCCAGGGTCATTACTGGGATGATTATTATAAAAGATAAAGTTGCTCTTCTTTTTTTTGGCTTTCAACTTTATTTGCCTCTACCGTGATTCATAACTACCTCCCTCCACACTGGTAGCACTTTTGCTCCACATCTTACACCACAAGGATTACCACGCACGAAAGGGCCACCTATGTCCACAGTCAGCAACTTGCGCAAAACCCCACAGACATGCAGCTGACAGGGCCCAATCCAGCAAGGTCACTGGGGAGACCCTCATTCATTTTAGCAAGAGTCAAATTAAGCACATAATTGACCAGCAAAGAGAGATCGACACATGTAACTGGGTAACAGTGAAGACCTATTCCTGCCACACAAGTCACTATAAGCCATCCAGAAAAAAAGCAAACACTGGCACGGTCTTGAGGAAAAGGTCTCAGCATCTTGCTCCCTGGGAAAGGAGGGAGGCCAACCTCCCCTCCATCATCAACCTGCAGATCCCTTCTTGCACTGGGCAAGAAAGCGGTAGCCCTCTGGGGCATTGACTTTCTGTACAGGACTAAGTGACTCGGTAAAGGACGTGGCTTTTTCCTTCCTTAAAGCAACTTGAGGTTTGTTGTGAGGGTGGCAGCTTCCCAGGGCCCGGGAGCTTCAGGGGGGGTCTGATGCTGGCGCTAAGCCCCTGACTCCGGAGTCTGCCTGCTGGTTTCTTCCCAGTCTCTGTCTGACGGACTCTGGTGAAGTCTCAAACTTCTGGGGGGAAGCCAGACCTGCCACTGGCACCCCGGGGAGGTCTTCCTAAGCCTGTCTCAGGGAGCTGGTGGGAGGCAAAGCCGCCCCGTGCATTTCACAGGGTATTTGGGGGACGTGCCTATGGAAGTTTTGTACTGCAAAGCGCTGCCCTGCCTGCCCCTGCCATTCCCAGCGGCGGAGGGAAGGGAATGGCTCTTACCTTCAAGCCATACGCGTGCCCGGAGCGCAGAGGACAGGTCTGCTGGCTCGGTAGATCCACAGCTGCCCGACATTCAAAGCTCCCGGCGTCTCGGAGCCTCCCCCATGGCCGCGGGCTCTTCCCCGGGACGCAGAGCGCGCGAGGAGGAGGCGGGGGCAGGCGAGGAAGGCGGGGGTGCGGCTGCAGCTCTGGCTGGGAGCCCCTTCCTGGCGCCGGCCTCTCGCAGCCCCGGACACGTGTGGCTCGGGCTGCCGGCCGCCAAGTCCCGCAGGCGGGAACGCTCTGCCGCTCGCCGGGCTCCGGCTCCGGCTCCGGCTCCGCGGGCGCCTCCCGGCTGCTCTTAGCCCGGGCTGTAGTCGGTCATGGCCGGGCGGGGGCGGCAGCGGCGCCGGTTCAGCGCCGCGCGCTGGACAGCTCCCGCTCCGGCTGCCGGGCGGGTTCAGCACCGCGTGCTGGACAGCTCCCGCTCCCAGGAGCTCTGCCTTGCCTTCCCTTCCCTTGCCCAGCTCTACCCCGGTGCAGGGCGCAGCTGCCAGGGACCAAATTGTTACCCCTGCTCACTGCAGGAGCACCCTGCCCACCCGCCCCTCGCCCCTGGCTATCAGCCCCTTGATAGGAACGTCAAACACCTCCCCCGGATCACGGCTGTGTCCAGCCCCTGCCGAAGTGCTCAGGATGAAGGGGAAAAACCTGCTCTTGGCGGCAGACACTCCCTCAAGCTAGGCAAGGCTCCCTGCTAGGATCTGCCCTTTTATTTCCTAGGTGTCGGGTGAAAACCAGCATCTACCTGCAAGGGATTTTTCCCCCCTGCCTTTCTTTTAGTAGAGGGGACACTTCAGGGCCGTTTAATTGTTTTAGTCTGATTCAAGGACTACACACTCCCTTGTTTGTCAAGGCATTGCCCAAGAAATCTCTGGTTTCTATAGAAATGGCTTTATTTGTATTTTTTCCCCCCTGAAAGTGTTTCTTTGACTTTGCCAGCATTAGAGTGAAGGGATGATGAATTAAGACCACCTCTTTGCTGAGGCTTTAAAAATACACAGACAAATTTATTCAGCTTTCTATGGGGTAGCCCACCAAAGAGAGGAAGGAGATCTGGGCTGAAACTCTGACTGAATCCAAATGAATTCTTTCCATTGCATGCCTCCGATTAAAATATTTCCCCTTTTGTTAATTAGGGATCTGTATGTAATATTTAAGGAGCCAGAGGTAAGATAGAGCTTCTACCTTCTCCATAAGGCCCAGAAGCAGTCGAGGGAGATGCTTTTCCTTAGACACACTATTTTTCAAGTCTTGCCAAAGTAGGTTTTAATATACTCTTACTTCAGCTTGTCTAAGAAATCTTGTTTCTACCTGAACTGAAAAATTAGGGCTCAAAGCACAGTGTATATGTATTCTGAATACTTATACCCTTTGCTCCTCCTCAGTATGAGTATTCAGTTTCAAGATGAATAATACTTAAAGCATGATTATTTCTTCCAGGGGGTTATCCATCTAATAGGGCCAGGGTATAGTTAATCTTTTTTAGTCTCCTTTGCTTTTCAATGATTTTACAAATATGCTTTACATTTGCTCGTTTAAGAGAAAAAAAAACCCTACTCAAATCCAGAAAAAAACACTCTTTGTAATTCATAACTGGAGGGTATACTCTGCATGGATGGACTCAAAGGGCCATATTGATTGTTTATCATGTGCCAAAACCTTGCAGTGTGAATCAATATTGTCATTTTGATTTACAGGCTTTAATAAATCAGCAAAGCTGCATTTTAGCTGCCTGTAATAGTCTTATTTATGTGTGCTGTCAACACATCCTTCACTCTTATTAAAGAAAGCTGCTTTTAGTTTGTTCACAGGAAAAGCATGAATTAAAAAAAATGGCAGGTCTTTCTGTTGTGTGCCATGTACTCTTGTCTGGGCTAATAATACATACAGCCAGTTCCTCTGCTGCTGTACATTAGGAACTAATTTTCAACAAATAAGGCGCCAGCCCTCTGGAGTCTGTTGTGAAATACATTCCCCTTGAATTCTCAATCAGAAACTTCAAGAAATAAGCTGGAGCTTAGTAAATCATTGGTTGGGGGGGTCCACCAGGGATGGCAGGTTAGGCCAATTTAATCTCTTTTAAAGAGATTTGTCCACAAGCAAAACCCAGTTTATTTAACCTCATTGAATAGTTTGAGTAACTCCATGGCTCATTGGCAAATCAGAAAGCATGCAGTGGTGGGGGTAATGTTGACTAAATCTGTAGCTCACATTACATTTCTTGAACTGCTTGGAGGTAATGCTTGAAATACCTGGGGTGACTGCTCCAAGCTGCTCATTCACAGTTATCTACTCATGCCTGTTCTCTAATCTCCCACCAACACCACTCAGGGATTTCTGTTGCTAAATTCATTGAGCAAAACAGTGCTGGAAGTGTCATGAGAGGGTGCTCAGTGGGTTGGGGCACATCGTCGAGAACACAAAAAGTGGCTATGAAATTGCACTGTCCTCATATGGAGAGGAGAGCATGGTATAACTCCCAGAAGAGACTAGTCTAGACAAGCACTCTCATAGGCTTCTAGGGGAGCGTAGGTCCTTACTAGCTTGCAGAGGGAGCTAGTACTCTCCAAGTGGTGCTCCAGAGATGTGTGCTATCAGCTGGAAGCCCATGATCCCCCACTCAACCTAAAATCCTGCTCCACTCTATGGCAGCCAGTCCACCACTACACATTCAGCATCACCCCATAAAGGAGGTGCCATTATCCCTCTGCACCACCCTCAGTGATGCCTGCTAATGGCTAGAAGGATCACAGAAAGTGATCCCAGACAGGTCCTGAGAGATCCATTTCCACATTTGAACTCCGGCAGGAGGAACTGTGTTTTGTAGTGACTGCCTAGCTCTGATTCACCAACGACTATTGCGCTATTGTCTGGCTCAAAGTTGTGAAACCTTTATTGCAAAGAAATAGGATGGCTCATTAGCATTCATTATAAAGATGTTTTTTCTCTTTGAGTGAAACCATATCTGGCTTCAGGGTTGATGGCTTTCAGCTCTCAGAGGCAGATTAATCATAAGGTAGCCTGTGCAGAGTCTGTGAACTTAACTGCCCTATATCTGTTGCATATTTTGGTACAAATGATGCAATTACCCACTCCAACTACCATCTCACTTCTACTTCAGAGGAGAGAAATGGGGATTTTTGCCTTTGCCAACTAAAGAGGAATGTAAGTTTGTTTGGATTGGGAGGAACTTCTGTAGCCAGTCTGCTACATCATTTTGGGTAGGAAAATTCCTGTCTGCTGCCTAAGACCTCATCTCTGTTTGCGGAGCCCGCAGAAGAGTTCAGTGTGAGTTGGGGATTATCACTATGGAAAAGTCTGGGAACAAGGAACGCTGGGTTTCTAGTCTTAGCTCTGCATGTCTTACTGGGAAACACTGGGTGACAGATTTAACTTCTCTCTCTCTCTGTGCATACTCACTCATTTCTTGATTATAGAAAAAAAAAAAAACAGAAAGATCACAGCAGGTCAGAGCAGTTTTGACACTCTGGATTCCTATTTGAAACCTCTGGGTTTATCTTGGGAATCACATTTGTACACCTAACAGTGCTAACATTGTGCAGCACCCCTGATTGAGAATCACTGGTCTATACAACTGGGGCACCATAATCTACCTTCCTTCCAAGGCAGCTGGATGTATCCATATTCCTTAATGTGTACTCTGCTCAGCACAGGTCCTGCATCTATTCACAAATGAGGTTTGTAATAAGCAGACTTCATTGCAAGCATGTTCCCACTTAACGCATTGACGGGCACAGCATGGCTGAAGCCTGCACACAGTATGCTTTTACTTCGGAGACTGACCCAATCCATCATGGGAAATCAAACAAAGATTGAATAGAGCAACATAAACTCACAATGGCACTGCATATGACAGGTGCAGCTACTCCAATTATCAGCCAAGGATTGATTTATTCTTTGACTCGAGTGACCATGGAGATAAGGTGCTCTCCGGTTGACTTGCGCTCCTTCTCTATGACGGGTCCCAACTCTCGGCTGTCTAGAGCCACAACACCGAACACTGCTCAAAGGCCAATGAGACCTTGCAAGTGTCTGGTTAATGGAAATGTCAGATCTTAGGTAGCATGCTGAAGAGCTGCTCGTGCACTCTATTAAGGGGCTAATCTGGAAAGTGATGGGCAGGCTGCATTGAGCCAGGACATCAGAAGTGTTCAGAGCCTGGTTCTGGATGGGGTTTGGAATGGGAGGTGCTGCAGTGCAGGTCACTTATGGTCCAGACAAGGCCACAGAGAAGCACTGAAATAGAGGGTCCAGTGTCAAAACTCAGCACAGCTCCACTGATGGCAGCTGTGCCTCTTCCCTCCACTGTCTAGGAGCTTCTTCTAGTTTGTAGCCTACGTGTCCTCATGGCCGGGAAGTTTTCAGTCCCTGCTGTCTTGGGTGGATGGCATAAAATCTGCACGCTACTGTTGATGCTTCATTTTAGGGGGAAAAATGCTTTTTGTGGGAAGATGCATTTGGGTGAAATTTGTTCAGGGGTTGCCCCACCCTAAAAAACCAAAATCCAATGCCAGGGAAATCTTGGATAGGAACAAGTAGGAATGATTTTGTGATAAATCATTTCTGGTTCTGAGAAGACAAATCCTAGTCCTGAAAACCAAAAATCAATCTTTCCTGGTCCTGAAAACCAAAGAGCAGGTCTCCCACATGACTTGGAGAACCAGGGCAGGCTCACATTTCTAATTCTCAGAGGTGCTTTGAAAATGTTGTCCTAGTTAGGCTCCAAACTGTGTGGCTGCCTCTCACAATGCTGATGGGAAGTCCCCAAGGTGATACCCAGAGTCCTAGCAAGAGAGCAGTGGTTCTGCACATTGAAGGGGGCAGGAAATCTCCTGTACAACCAGCTTCCTTGGCTTCCATTTTTAGTTTTTGCTGTCTGCACTAATTGAGCCAGAAATACAGATGAACTTGTGTCAGCCACAAGGGGCAAGTTGCATTTGGGGAGTTTATGTTCGGCCATCTTTCATGTTAAAAAACCCATCTCTGATGGTTGAAAGGTAGCACCCCCTTTGCCACATGGTAAGAAAGAGGAACAACGGCTGCAGCAAGAGAGGTCAGTAGCTGGTCTGTGTGCTCCTGACTCAGGGCCCTTGCACGATCAGCTGGAAGCTGCCTGCAAGTCGGGCAATGCTACAAATACATTTAAAAACAGTGCTGGGGAGAGAACAGGAGATCTGTTGCCGTTGATAGAGCTTCACTGACTGAACCGAGCAGACAGTCTGGCTCAGGATTATCAGGGCAGTA